TGATTACTGTACTGTGACTGTAAAGGAGAATGTCCTTGTTTTTAGGAGACACATGCTGAAGGATAAAGGGTCCTGATGTCTGCAACGTACTCGCAAAAGGATAAAAAACCAATAGTGATGATAATAATACATATAGAGAAAGTGATAAAGCAAATGGGGCAGAATGTTAACAACTGGTGAATCTAGATAGAAGTACACTGTAGTTTATTTTTGTTTTTTTGTTTAGTTTGAGTTTTTTTCAAAATGAAAGTTAAAAAAAATTAAACTAAAGACCAAAAAGGAAAAAAAAAAATAAAGGTAAAAGGGACCAAAGTCCCTTGTTACAGATAATGAAACAGAGGCAAAGCAAAGTGAAGAGCTGAGGGCTACACATAGAGTTACTGGCAAAATCAAGATTAGAATTTCTAGTTCAAGCAGCTCATCTACTCAATACAATTCTAAAAAATAATCTCCACACGGTTTTCCGTATGATATGACTATTCAATGCTAGTAATAGTTAACATTTACCACGAGATCTCAAGAGAAGGATAAATAGGAGGAGAAAAACACACAAAAAATTGTTGTGAGTAGCTGGTTCATTTCTGCCTTGACAATAAGGATGAATCAAAGGCAGACTGACGTAATTCCTTCCTTGATCCTTTTATGGACAAGAATATGCTTATTCTCCTAAATTGGGCCTTCTCCAGTATGTGTATTTAAAAATCCTTTTCTCAGGCCATTCTAGATTACCGAATACAAAGCTTTGCCCGACTGGGTGGACTCTACCCCAATGGCATTCATTCATTCATTCAACACAGACTTAATGAGTCCCAACCAAGTGCTGGGCCTACTTCTCTTTCACCAGAGACACAGTAGTGAAAAGACAAATTTCCTGCCTCATGAAGCTTATATTCTATTGGGGAAAACAGATAATATATAAATACATAAAAATGTAACACATAAGCATTATAACAAAAATTTTTAAATGAAACAAAATAAGAGGATAGAGCAACAGGAGGAAAGGTATCCCTCTCCAAAGAGATCACATTTAAGTAGAGACATGAAGTAAGGGAGGGAGACATAAGAACGTCTGAAAAAGGGAAAAGCTGGGGGGTGGGGAGGGGACAGGACGGGACACACGATGACCATGGATGGGATGACAAATCCAGCATGCTGGAGACAACCCCAAAACTCACTTTACTGTACGTAGAGAGTTGATCCTTTAGGCTCTGACAATGCAACATGGTTCCAAGGGCTACTTGCTGCACCAACTGCTGAAATCTTAAATTTCTGGAAACAAAATCTGTCTCACAGTTTACCTGTGGGAACAAATTGATGTTGCTGTATAAGCTGTTTACTGATAGTTTCCAAAAGTGCCTTCAAGTTGGAGAATAAACCAAGGTATTGATAGAACAAGCTACAGACTCAACAAAACAGAAATAATTGACTCTAGAATTTTTTAGCTGCAGTTCCTCTTGCAGCTTGAGGCCAGAAACTGAGTGAAGTGATTCCTGCTCTGCCAGTGAGTTGGCAATGACCCGCACATTCAGAAGGTGGTTCCACAACGTCTCCAAGGGACTCACTATCGGTTCACCACTTGCCTGCAGCTGCACGCCAAAATCACCTCCAACCCCAAACCACTTTTGCTGTCAGCTTATCTCCTTCTCTCACTCTAAACAAATCCACATCTGAGTCGTTACCAATTGTGGTCCCTAAACCCCCTCTAAAACAGCTACTAGCTATCTATCAACTAATTAATATAATTCCTAGCTTTAAAATCTGACTGTTCCGGGGCCAGCCTGGTGGCGCAAGCGGTTAAGTGCACGCGCTCCGCTTCAGTGGCCCAGGATTCGCAGGTTCGGATCCTGGGCACACACTGATGCACCGCTTGTCAAGCCATGTTGTGGCGGCGTCCCATATAAAGTAGAGGAAGATGGGCACGGGTGTTCGCTCAGGGCCAACCTTCCTCAAGAAAAAAAAAGGGGGAAGACTGGCATCAGATGTTAGCTCAGGGCTAGTCCTCCTTACAAAAAAAAAAAAAAAAAAAAAAACTGACTGTTCCAGGAAACAATCAATGATAAGGTGTATGGC